ATTTTGACTTCAGCAGCGATAAAAACTTCCCACTTCATGACAACGCGTGAAGGCTATTCATCAGGAACTTCATCAAAATGTAACAAATAATTGGCGTTAATACTCTCGAAGAGGCCTCTCCATAACCGATGTTCCTTAGAAAAGACCTGCCCTTTCTAATAGAGTGCTAAAGAGCGGCATTTGAAGAATAGGCTCACTAGAACTTGAGCTTAAGTACTTATTTAAGTCATTTATTTTTATCACCAAGTCATCTTTGCTCCTTCTTTCGCAGAATGAGCCATGTACTTACCCGCTACTATCTAACCCACTAACGATATTTCCATACATCTGACAGAGCCTTTTTGCTTACACTTACCCTATAACGCCTTTGACCTTATCAAATGTACCCTTCTGTTGACATTGAAAGTTGAGCTCTAATGCTGGGCGATGACCATGATTGTGCCGATGCTTCTCTTTTGGCCTATCTAACAAAGTGATTTTTCATTGCAGCAGTTTCTTCATATGATTTTCTTACTAGGATAGGTCAGATGCTGCACGCCCCGTCCAGACTTCAAACTTTGTGAGAACATCGAAGTCAGCAGCTTTCAACACAATCCGTCCCCGTGCCGAGCTTCCGTTTTCGTCTTCCAACCAGGACGTCTCACATTTCATGCCATTTGCTCCCTGGGCGCTTCTAATGGCATTGTGCTTTTTGCCTCTTATCAATGACTTTGAAAGTTCTTCACTGTAAAAGGCATTTCAAAACATCGAAAAAGAAGATGAAGTGACTCAAGTGCTCATAAATTAAAAATCTACTTTTTGTAGATGGAGTTACCGTCAAAACCTCAAAACTAGTTCGTTCAGCTTCTTAAATTTTCAAAAATAACAAGAGAAACAGAAGTCTTGATCTTTATCGCTACGGGGTGAAGAGGCAGCGACCATCTCGAACTTGATAAACCGGCAACGGAATATCACAAGAATAAACTTGTGAGGATTACTTTTTTCACATTCCTCTCACTGATGGTAACTGCTCGAGGACGACTCATGTATAATAAGTAGAATCATTTTTGAAAGTTTTTTGATTCATGTGAAAGTTATGGCAACACTTCCAAAAAGGCGGTTTCTGATCACTAAACTTGCGACGTTGGCAATGAATGGGTTGCGAAAATATCGTGTATCGAAGGCTGAAAAAATAACTTCTTCGAAGTTTATTATGTAGTATAAGCCCATAACTGGAGAAGTTGCTCCACTGAGAATTTTCACTAACATACCACATAAAGGCCAGAGAAGCTAGCATAGGCGATCATAAATTCAATGCGTGATTCCTATTTCTAGAGAATTTCGTCGAGAAGCTTACTCATAAATATAGGACAGATATGGGATTTGGTCATCGCATTCCTGAGCCGTCAATTCGTTGGCAGATATAGAGTGGCTAGATATGTATACATTGACAAATGGTACCTTCTATTCTGAAAACGACTCTAAACCTGTTGCTGTGCTGCCCTGAAATACAAGTATCAGCCTAAATCAGAAGGTGACAGGGATCAACTCGAATTTCGGTTAGGTTCCTATGTTGGTCGAATAGGTGATACATAGTACTGCAGTTGTGATAGATAACCGCAATCGACGCAACCTAGGCAAGTATATCTCTGCCACCAAACAGGTTTTTCTCTGGTAGGGGATGTAAAATCATTCTTATATCAAGAAAGACTTTAAAGCCTTGGATTACTGACAGTGATAGACTAATTATGGCTAAATTCGGCTACATACTTTTCTGACAAAGTATTTTCTTTCTAGCTTTTGGTGACCGTTTTCTTTTTGAGATATTTATATATCGACGGCTGCTGCATATTTTATAGCATTCGAGAAATATGTTTTGCTTTTTTTTGTTGGTGACCACAATCCAGCACTTCTTATTCAGAAATGCGCGTTGAAATTGAATATTCAGCAGCATTGATTAATTGATTCAGTTTTATTAACCTATGAAGATGTCAAAACCCTTTTGACCAACTTTTGAACATTGCCCTTCCTAATCTAAACTTATGCGCATTTAGGCAAGTTCTTGAAAAGGCTGCCCATTTTGATGATTATGGAGCTCCATTGCAGTTCATGGCTTATTCTGTCCTGCTAGCGGGAGATGTGTTCGAGAGGGGTTAACAGTAATTTACTGATCAGCTGATTCACATTGTTAAATATCGCTGAGTCCCTTGTCAGTATTTTCTTAAAAGCATCTCAAGAATCTGTCCTTAGAAATTTCTATGAAAGCATGTGACCGATGCTTTTCGGATGAATGCCACCCTGCTCACTAACTACTTACCCGTTGAATAAGAAGCATAGAATATCATACTTCAGTTGCAAGGACACCTTGATGAGGACGGGTTTCTTGACAATACTTGTATATGTTTGGCCTTTGAAGCATGTTATTCTACCCCTTGTGATTCCGCCTTGTTTCTTCCTCAAGCTTCACCGGTAACACCCACACGCATATTTTATTTCTGTTCACATTTATTTATTCATGCGAACAGATTTCTGCGGAAACCACATTGCCACTACGAAAGAAGATAAAAAAGAAAAAATATGAAAGAAAAAAGCATGGCAGTCAACTTCTACGAACAAATAGTAATGGTTAAAAATGCCAACCATAAAATAGACATGCATTAATGCATCGAGAAGAAAGAAGAAAAAGGGGCGTGTTGGTAAGAGAGTGACTTTATAAAAGGACAGGATAAATGGGCGAATGCAACAGTAGCTTTTATATACTAATTTAAATTATAATGAATGCAGAGGCGCTAAATAGCCGGGTGGGCCCAG